TTGATATTTTGATGTTTTCCCAGGCTAGTAATATGTGCTATGATATTCCCTTATGATGCTGAGCATGGAGGTATTAATAAGTTCTAGCTTCCAGTGAGCTATGTGATCATGAGGGTAATTAACCAATATTACATAGTGTACTGTTGTCACCATTTTGGATATTGTGTTTTGTGTTTTCACATTCAGTCATGTCTACAAAACACCAACTACACCAATGTAAGTGTTCTGAGCACATTTTTGGTACGCTAGGCTAAGCTAGGATAGGTGTATTTTAATACATTTTTGACTTACAACATTTTAAACCTTCATTGGGGTTTACAGGACCTAACTCTATCATAAGTTAAGGAGCATCTTTACTTAAAAACTTGGCAATATGTCTGATAAAACTTCTCTTCTGAATATCAAGAATACTCAATTAATACAGTCTTGCTCTTCAAGTACCCTTTTAATTTTATTAGCCAGTCCCTCTTTGTTGATCAAAACCATGTTTGCAGCAATTATGTAGAGAAAGCATGAGTATAAATAAAATTGGACATACCGAGATTTTGAGATTAAGAACTTTAAGCTCTGTAGACTAACTATAGTATAACACTGTAGTGAATTCACAATGAATTGCCTAAAAGTAGGGTTGTGGTAAACTGGATGAACCAGACATGTATATTGGCTTTTCTTAAAAATAACTGGAGCTTGGAAGGGTGATTTATACTTTCCCCTGAGAAGACAATGTATAATGTAGTTTGAAATTTCTATACCTTGTTAAAGAAATGTAACTCTGGGCCAGGTGCGGTGGCTCACGCCTATAATCCCAGCACTTTGGGAGGCCGAGGCAGGTGGATCACAAGGTCAAGAGATCGAGACCATCCTGGTCAACATGGTGAAACCCCGTCTCTACTAAAAATACAAAAATTAGCTGGGCATGGTGGCACGTGCCTGTCGTCCCAGCTACTTGGGAGACTGAGGCAGGAGAATAGTTTGAACCCAGGAGGTGGAGGTTGCGGTGAGCCAAGATCATGCTGTTGCACTCCAGCCTGGGTAACAAGAGCGAAAACTCTGTCTCAAAAAAAAAAAGAAAAAGAAAAGAAATGTAATTCTACTGGTTTCTAGTCTTTGTAGTGTTGGTCTTCTCCCACTTCTGTTAATATATAATCAGTCACTAAATCCTTCTCATACTTTCATCAGATTTACTATTTTCTATTTTGGCAACTATTTTTTTAAACTCAGGTTCTTAACAATTCACACTTGTATTATTACAGTGGCTCTCAGACAAAATTCAGGCATCTCATCCTAGGCATCAGTATACCCTTCTTGCTTCACTGTTGTCTGTATCTAAACTCAGACACTGTTTCTCCAACTGGTGTTTCTGCTCTAGCTAAGCAGATCTTACTGTGTTCTAAAACACAATTCCCATTTCTGCATCTTTGTTCATATTATCCATACCATTTCTCCTCCCTAAAATGATTTATTTCTTCTCTAACAGGCATCTGTGATTACTGTATCCATTCTTCTACTTTTACATTTCTTAATCATATATGCTGTGCATCATAAATGTAACTTCTATATCTATTGTAATTTTTTTAACATTTTTGTCTTATATTTCTCAAAGAATATAACTTCAGCTTTTTGTGTTTCTTGGAAGGAGGGTGGCCTTTCCGTTAGTTTGTTAAAAAGTTTTAGAGTAGGACAGGAGTCCTTTCTTTCTTATTGCTCTACACTCCTCTAGGGCACAGTCTTTGTCTTCACAGTTGTTTGAAGTTGCATTGTAAGTAGCTCTGTTTTCCAACTTGGCACAAATGAAGAGATCATGGAAGACTGCTCACTGATTTTATTTCTTTTTTTTTTTGAGACAGAGTCTCACACTATTGCCCACGCTAGAGTGCAGTGGTGTGATCTCAGCTCAATGTAACCCCATCTCCCATGTTCAAGTGATTCTCCTGCCTCAGCCTTCCAAATAGCTGGGGCTACAGGTGTGCACCACCATGCCTGGTTAATATTTGTATTTTTAGTAGAGATGGGGTTTCACCATGTTAGTCAGGCTGGTCTTGAACTCCTGATCTCAAGTGTCGGCCTGCCTTAGCCTTCTACAGTCCTGGGATTACAAGTGTGAACCACCGCGCCTGGCCACTCACTGACTTTAGATTCTAGGCTGCCCCTCAGCAGGTTTAAGGATCATCTTCAGATCAGAAACTCTGCTGCTAACTAGACTGAAATTAAACTGTGTCTTTTAACATCTCTCAGCTTTTAATTTCTTTATTTTAAAAACTATTAAAATTTCAACTTAATAATCTCAAAGGATCCTTCCCATCTATGATTTTTTAAAATTTATATCATAATCTCTCTGCATCACAGAAAATCAAACACTATTTTTAAAATCCATCACGAATTTCCTTCTAAATATTATTCTTTGTTTACTGGGATCCAGAAATCAATATGGTATAATCCATACACATAAGCTATAGATAGGTGTCAACTAAAATCTGGCAATACGATTGTCCGGTGAGAGTTAAACTATGATTTAAATCAGGGGTCCCCAACCTCCAGCTGTGGACTGGTATCGCTGTGGCCTGTTAGGAACAGAGTTGCACAGCAGGAGGTGAGTGAGCATTACTGCCTGAGCTCTGCCTCCTGTCAGATCAACAGTGGCTTTCGATTCTCATAGGAGCACAAACCCTATTATGACCTGCACATGTTGCATGCTCCTTATGAGAGTCAAACTAATGCCTGATGATGTGAGGCAGGACAGTTTAATCCTGAAACCATCCCACCCTTACTCACCATCCATGGAAAAACTGTCTTCCATGAAACCAGTCTGTGGTGCCAAAACACTGGGGAAAGCTGATTAAAATTTTAACAGGTAAGACATATATGAAAGTCCTTAAAGAGACAGAATGGCTTTTAGACTTCTGGCGAAATAAGACCTAATGAGACTCTAAAGAGGCCAAAGATAATTATCCTAGCCCCCCCAAAAAATTTTAAATCAGAAGTTTGTTATGTTAAATAAACACATATTAACGTTAATATGTATGTATTAAGTACTGGATACTAGGAGCGCAAAGGAAAGATGGCTCATGCCTATAATCCCAGGAATCTGGGAGGCTGAGGTGGGCAGATTCCTTGAGCCCAAGAGTTCAAGACTAGCCAGGGCAACATGGCGAATCCTGTCTCTATGAAATAGACAAAAATTAGCTGGGCATGGCAGCATGCCCCACTAGTCCCAGCTACCCAGGAGGCTGGCGTGGGAGGAAAGGTTGAGCCCAGGAGGTAGAGGTTTCAGTGAGCCGAGATCGTACCACTGCACTCCAGCCAGGACAACAGCATGAGACCCAATCTCAAAATATATATATAGGCTGGCATGGTGGCTCGTGTCTGTAATCCCAGCACTTTGGGAAGCCAAGGCAGGAGAACCACTTGCAGTCAGGAGTTTGATACCAGCCTGATCAACATGGTGAAACCCTGTCTCTACTAATAATACAAAAATTAGCCAGGCATGGTGGCGCACACCTATGATCCCAGCTACTTGGAAGGTTGAGGCATCAAATCTGGAGGCAGAGGTTGCAGTGAGCTGGGTGCCATTGCACTCTAGCCTGGGTGACAGAGTGAGACTCCATCTCAAAAATAAAATAAAAAAATATATGCATACATAATACACACATACATATATATTTCAAAGGAATATTGATAATATTTCAAACAAAATGTTTTAATTAATCAATTTTTTGTGGAAAAAATAAAATTTTAGCATCTTAACCATTAATTTTTAAAAGGTAATACTTGCACATAACCCAAATTTCAAAAGTCTCATTAACAATATTCATCAAAAAGCAAGTCTCCATTCCAGTCCTGCCCCATCCATAGTTAGTTACCTTCTCTGGAGGCCAGTTTCTCCCTTATTTTTCCAGAAATGCTCCATTATAAGCATTAAGATATGTAAATCTGTTGTGTGTATGCAGTATTTTTTCAATCACTCTTTTTCATGGGCTTTAAATTGTTTTCAACTTGTTGACAGATATTTAGGATCTTTCCAATCTTTTACAATTTCAATGTCCTATGAATATTTTTACACATATGTTTTTTCACACATAAATATTTCTGTAGAATAAATTTCTACAAGTGCAATTGTTGTGTCAAAGAATATATGGATTTTTATTTTAAAGCAATATTGCTGTACTGGCATCTATGGAGACTGAGTTCTAAGTTAAGCTTTCATAACAATAAACATTATACTTAAGAGCCTATTTCCCATACCCCTTAACACATCCTTTTGGAAAAATGAAACCTTGGACAGTCACATTTCTTTTTTTGTCCTTTACATCCAATGGTTCTTTTAAAGACAGGGAAGTCACTTTTTATGAGAACCATATTTTTCATCCTTTTGTCACTTAACAGTAGGAATCATTTTGCAATGTGCTTATTATTAGCTGAAAATTCTAAGGCTATTCTGTTGGGAAAATTACGATTCACAAACAACTATTATAAATATTAAATTGTCTCTATTTGTATTAAACTTTAAGGTATATTTAAAAATCTACTGACATTCTAGATACAAAGTCTATTTATAATTATTCTATCTAAAAACACTGAAACTCTGAAACTCTTCATTTAGATAATCCTGTAACTGATATTTACAGCACGATAATCTTTTCAAGGAGTCCAGAGATCTTGTACTTACATATTTTATACTGGAGTAAAAAGTCAAAGTATAAATGCTAAGTCAAGGAACATAAGAAAAAAAAACATGAGAAACAGGAACTATGAAGACAAAGATTCCTTTCTGAAAGGAGAATGCTTTGGAAATTTTGTTTTAAAACAACACTGAGGGGAATCAGGGGATAGGAGGGGAGGAGAGGAAAGTAAAGAAGAGAGCAAAGAGGAGAGGTAAGAGGAGGGGATGGGAGGTTTACATCTTTAGAAATCAGTTATGAAACACACAGCAATTCTGGCCAATGTCAGAGAGCTGAAAGATATGAAGAAAATATCCTTCCCTTCGAGGCACAAGCACTGACCTGTAAAAGTTGTGTTGCAGTAGCTCTCTGCTCAGGATTCTTCACCAAACACTTTTTAACAAAATCGGTGAAATCATCGGACCAAAGTTCTGGCTTTCTGAATGTTGGTGGTGGATTTGTGGGAATCATAAAAATAGCCTAGTACAAATGAAATATCCAAAAGACAGTAAGAATCACACTAGCACAGCCAAATAAACAAATCTCTTTATCTATCTTTTCATCAGACTCTAAATTTGAAAAACAAATTTAAGCCATTCTAGGATTTCCAGTAAGACTGCAATTCAGGAAGCCAATCCATCTGCTACTAATGTAATCATTTCCCATGAAATTTCCTCTATTTGAATTGTAGCTCACTGAGCACACCATTCTTTATTTTACTGATTACTTTTTTCTCAATTTCCAAAGAAGACTACATTTCTGACACACTAAGGACATTCCCTAAACAGATATATTCCCAAATTCTGCTACTATGTGCCAGATTTACTTCTCATTTCAGTTTTACACAAGTACTGCCGCTTAAAATGGCTAGCAGGAGTCCAATTTGCTTTTGCAATCCAGAATATTTAAGTATAAGTAAAATTACTGCTATAATTTGAAATAATACTTGATAAAGCCAAGACTTGGATTTCTCTTTTTAAATATATGAATCAAAATTTCAAATGAAAAATTTCAAAGGTAATATACCACTTTTATTTATTACTAATGATTCAGTATTAATAACTTAGTGATAATGACATACATTCAGATAGTTCAAAATTCAAAAGCCATAAAAAGACTCCATCTCATCTATTACCTCCTAGACAGTCACCCTGGCCTGTTTTCGCTTTTAATCTGAGTATGTTTATGACCCAAGAAGTAGATTTAAAAAACAAAAACCTGGAGACATTCTAAATATGAAATACAAAATCCAGTTACAGGGATAATGTACATGTCCCAACATGAGTAATAAAATGTTCAAACTACAGGAATGAAATGGAAGAAATGAAGCATGAAATACTTCAAAGGAGGAACCAAGAGTACACGATAACAACATTGCTTTGGAGAGGTTAAAAAAAAGAAAGCATGAAAAATTACTCCAGAATTCAAGAAATAAAAAATAGGTACCTTAAATTGCAAGGCACTCAGGTATTTTAATAATTCCCTATTATCGTTCTTTTGAATGCCCTCAGAATATGCAGCCATTTACTACAATGGGTCATCATTGGTTTCTAACTTGGAAAGTGATCCAAAGGACTTTCTGTGGACACAGCAGGAAAGACTCAATATCTGGGTCTGTTGATTCTAGGTTAAGAGTTAATCTCTTTACTGGTATATGCATCTTCCTTCAAAAAAGATAAATTCTTTAATAGAACATTTTTGTATGTATCATGTTATACATATTACATCTATGATAATCTTTCAAAAGCAGTGTAGCCAGTATTACAAAACAATAAACATCTTTCAATCAAATATTTATAAAGCATTTTTGTGTGTTTAGAACACTGCTATAATTTAGAGGTACCAAACCAAAGGGCCACAGGCCAAATAGTGCCAGTGGACCTATTTCATTCAGACATCAATCTCACATTCCCAAAAGGTATGAATCTCCAGTAATTAGGCTAATTTAAACTAGGATGTATGTTCTTCATTTTTCATGAGCCCTATCTAGCCTGGCTCAGTTATCTACTTTATATGATGGTCCCTTTAAATATCAGATATTGTAAACCTAGCAATCACAGATTTTAAAATAGGATACATATCTCAGACCCACAGAACTCACAGTGAACTTGTGGAGAAAAAAAACAAACATATGCAACAAATAGCAAACAACGGAGTGCCAGAAAATGAAATTCTGCCTGCAGATAACATAATTAATCTCAGACAGCTCAACAGTTGAGGTAGAACCTAATAAGGCTTTAAAAATAAGCAAAATGGGGTTAAACGCAGCTGCTGGAAAAGGCATACAAAACCACCTGCTATTTCCAACTAGAGAATAAAAATAAATTTGAACTCTCATCTCTGCAAAACAGTTCAAAGGACTTACATACACCTCTATATAGACTGACCTCAAACTGCAGGTATATTATACTAGATTGTCTAGATAAATATTGTTCATCTGCACTTCTGTTGTAAACTGGTGGATAACACAGTGATTTATGTCCTTGAAGTCAATACTCTCCTTTGAACTTTGAGGCAATGAGTTGCAGTCTTATCTTCAGATAATCTTAACATATAAGGCTCACCTTAGCAGTAGCAATTAGAAACTCAAGGATAAAAAGCTTAACTCTAACTCTTATTTACCCAATACTCTCATAAAGTGAATCTAAAATGTCACATTCTACCCGCAAATATGCATTCAACAAGCATGAACACCAAGTATACAGTCCAAACAAATAAGTCTTAATGTATAATCTATAACAAAATGTCTACAGGAAAACCACTGTGCCATTTATTTCTACTTTTTAAGGTTAGATAATCAACAACAAATTTTCTTGTCGGCCTTACTGTATTCAACTAATTTAACCTAAGAAGGAACCACAGAGGATCCTCTTAAGAATCTCGAGGTTTTGTATGAGTTGATTAAGTAATAGGCCCCTACTACAAAAAGTTTTGGCAATCAGTGGCTCGCTTTAGACTAACAATTCATTCCCTTGACACCAACCAAATCAGAGGGACACACATTACAGCCATATAATTTATCTTATCTCTAACACCATTTTGATTGAAGAATGTTAGTAAAATAAATGACATGACTATCCTGTGTTTGTTTCTACACAATGTGTTGCTTAACTACATACCAAACCTCTGATTATGTTTCTAAAAGAACTACTCTGATCACAAGTAGTTTAAGAAGCCAAGAAATCTAGGTGCTTCAAAACAACTAATTATCTTCATGCCTGAAATGTCATGCCTTAGACTGCAGGAGTACACAGGAGATGTGGAAAGGGCTGGAAATAAGAAGCTACAATGCCTGAACTTTATAATCTGAATCAAATGAGTCAACACATGTCTGAATCTACAGCAGCTGAGTGCAAGAATAACAAGGAAATTCATGCCGTTAGTTAAGAACCTCAGATACGTGAGCAAAAAGGTTATCTTCACAATAAATAAATGAGACAAATGAGAAAACACTATAAAACTACAAAGAAGTAAACAAATATAGCCGTTTCCTGATAGCAAACATAGTACACAGGTAACAAGCTAAATAAAATTTTAAAATAATTTCTGAAAAGGAAATAAAAGAAATTACACTAATTTATAAAAGACATTACAAATAAAAGCAAACAGTACAATGTGATGACACCAATACTGGCCATGAGTCAGTATGTAAATCACTACCTGATTGTGTGGCTTTAGTATTATTTTGCTTTTGTTTTTGTTTTTCTAAGTGAGGAGGTTGAACTGGATGTTTATCAGGTCCCTCGCTGGGTATAAAAAAATCCTGGCACTCTGCCTAGTAATCAAAGGGTAAAATTATACTAAACAAATATAAAATTGCTAGTTAGAAAAGGGATGGAAAAGAGGAAAAAGGGAAGGATAGGGAAAGGTCTTTTCGATGTAAATATAAAAATGCAAATCTAGGCCCGGTGAGGTGGCTCATGTCTGTAATCCCAGCACTTTGAGAGGCCGAGGCAGGCAGATCACCTGAGGCCTGGGGTTCAAGATCAGCCTGGCCAACATGGTGAAACCCTGTCTCTACTAAAAATACAAAAATTAGCATGGTGTGGTAGCATGCACCTGTAATGCTAGCTATTCAGGAGACTGAGGCAGGAGAATTGGTTGAATCCAGGAGACGGAGGTTGCAGTGAGCCAAGATCGCGCCACTGCACTCCAGCTTGGGCAACAAAAGCAAAACTCTGTTTAAAAAAAAAAATGTGAATCTAAATTATTATCACTACTCCCTCAAAAGCAAATATAAACTATACAGAAATTTTGAAGAGAATAATAAATCTAAAGTGAGCCTTGCTCCTATAATATAGTTTCCACAGTAAGCACAAGTTAAGGTATTGGGAACACGAACTCACACTTCACTCTGGCTCCAGTAGCAATCATTAATGTGGCCAAGAAAGGCCAATGTACCGGCCTGGAAACCAGATTAAGGGAGAGGGTACAGCTGGTGTTCTGGCAGTTCAAAGCAAATAAGAGAACCAGTTCTAGACAATACTGGGTACATAACAGCACCATTATTATAACTATCTGAGCCATTTAACTACTCTATACCTCTGTTCCCACATCTTAATATGGGAATATTAAGGCTGTTCTGAATTTTAAATAGATTAACATATGCAAAACACTTCAAATAGTGCCAACCACAATTGTAAGGTAAGCTTTTATTAACCTAAGTTTACCACTGTGGCTCTCAAGAGTAAGCTAGCTTAATCAAGAACACACAGCTAAGAAGGTGAATGTCAAATTAGAACTCAAGTTTGACTCCTTAGTATATGCTACTTCACATTACCTCTATGTTTCCATTAAATTTCTGTGGCACATAACTATTTTAAGATAAAAGCTGGCCAGGCGCGGTGGCTCACGCCTGTAATCCTAGCACTTTGGGAGGCTGAGGTAGGCAGATCACGAGGTCAAGACATCAAGACCATCCTGGCCAACATGGTGAAACCCCATCTCTACTAAAAATACGAAAATTAGCTGGGCATGGTGGCACGTGCCGGTAGTCCCAGCTACGCAGGAGGCTGAGGCGGGAGAACTGCTTAAACTCGGAAGGCAGAGGTTGCAGTGAGCCGAGACGCCATTGCACTCCAACCTGGCGCCTGGCGACGAAACAAGACTCTGTCTCAAAAAAAAAAAGATAAAAGCTCTGTTATACACATTCAGTCTCTAGAAAAAAAAAAGTGGAAAAGTATTTGTAACAAAGATGATTATAGTTTTACCATCTCTAACTGTGGAAAAGTAAAAAAAAAAAAAAGGCCAAACAATTGAAGGTGCTAAGTAAACTACATATGAATATCATAAAGTAATATATTGCCATAAAATGTGACAAACTTGTGAACTACAAAACCACAAAGAAAACTTCTTAAAAAGTGAAAATGAGGGAGTAAAACAGTAAAGACTACTTTCACATAAAAATGACTAGTATGCAGCAATAAAAACTAAAAAATGGTATAGAATCTTACAGATTTAAACTATTAATTCATAGCAGC